TTTGACCTTCTTTAAATCCCTTTGGAGAACCTTGTCTGGCTGGTGCTTTATTTACTTTAAATATCTTAATGTGTCTCCTTACCATCTACATGATTCAGGTCAATTTCAGTATTTCTTAGAGAATGCTCAGGGCCAGATATCTTCTCTTGTGAAAACAAAAGGGAATATGTAAAAGTTCAGCATCCTTTAAAGTTGCAATCCTTATTTAAACATTTTATGAAACTCCATGCTGTTAGTTTTAACATTACTAGCCACATATCTCCTGTAACTCCTTTTTATTTCCTAATTCTCTTTTGACCAAATACCTAGCCTTCCTGTAATTTTGTAAGTCTTCCAACTTATTTGTCAATATAAACTTCTTGAACTTAAGGTTTTTATTCCTGGATTGAATCTAATTATCAGGCATGTGAAAAATCCACAGATGTCATCTTTATCATTGAGACTTAAAGACTTCAAGAAATCTTGCTTCCTTGCTGTTTGAATTCCAGTCATTGTAGCTCTGAAATTAGAATCTTCCATAGTTATTGCATCAATGTTCTTATTAATAGCACCCCTGATTACATTCTTCAAGTTCTCATTTACCCCTTCTTTATAATCAAGTGGCCTAATAACTGCCATTTAAAAACTTTTTCCACTTCAAACCCCTCACTATAACCCACATAAACTTAGTCTCTTTACTAGAACTGGGCAGTTAGTGGAATTTATTAATTGATTAACCATCAGGTTCATTAATTTATTACATTAAACTTATTGATTAATCTCAATAGATGGCTAAAACAATTATTATTCTCACAACAAACAAGTATAATGGCGATATTTCAATTACTTGGATATTTGTAATAACTTGAAAACACTAATAATTGGAAGCCCTACTTTTCATTAGCTGAATACTTTCTTGATTTGGGATCCTAATCAATTACATTGAACAAATCTGAACTAATTAAAAATAATAAAAAATCATAATGGTAATATTTTGATTACTTGAACTTTCAGTTACTTGGACAGTTGAAATAATCAAAACTGTAATAATCAGGAACACTATGTGATTATTTTTGTGACATTAATTTCTTTAACTGTAATTTCAATTAGTTAATTAGTTGTTGTTGCACTCATCAGTGTCAACAGGTAATAAATTACATTGATTAATCAAGTTAATCACCCAGGTCTACTCTTTGATTACCATTTTACTTCAGTCCTAGCAGACTGCAGCTTATCCCTTATATATATAGTCACACTATGCCCTGTCTTAAAACATCTGTCACTATTAAGTAACTTTTAATCATGAATTTCATATTAGTTTCTACAATTACTATTCTCCAAATCAATGAAGTTTCAATAATTTCTATTAGTCTTCCGTTTTAACTAGAGTCCTGAACTGTATTGTTCCTAGTACTTCTAACATAAGAATAAGTAATTGTTTATTCTTCTTCTACTATGTTTATCTTTAAAACTGTTATTTAAGTTATACTCTGAATCTCCTTTTTACATACATGTTGCCTTAGCTGTCATGTTAGTTTGTATGCTCCCAATATCCCAAGCTCCCTAACCACTATGCAGGTTTAGTTTAAACTATCTTCAATGAATATATTTAGAGCTTCACCAAACAGCCTACTACATATCCTGCTTAAGTGGAGCCCATCTCTAGCATATTACACTAGAGACTTAAAATTATTTTTAGCAAATAATTAGTAGCAAGAAATATTTTTCTACAAACATTTTATGATATATTGGCCTTAAAGGCAATATAATGTGTTTTTACTTATTCGTGATAAATATTTAAGGAAAAATATCTGAGAGTTAGGTTTGTAACTGTGATTATTGAAGGCGTAACATAGTAACTTAGCTGTTATTTGTATTATTTATTGCATCACAAACATTCTTTGCACAGAAAGTAAAATCGTTATTCGATAATAAAAGCTTTCAATAAAGTCTTTGTTACTTGTGTCGTTTATATGAAATGCTGATGATTAGAATAACCTTAAATTGAGAGTATGTAATATTTTATGCCAAATTAATGCTTCTTATCTTAACAAAGGTAACATGGTTCTATAATTTTCAGCAAGTGCATGCTATGTTTAATCAGTGTACAAGTACTTAAAATGTATTTCACCACCAATATTATGACATTAATATTAATCGCTGTAACTCATTAGAAGTAGTAGTAATAATCTTCTGTATTTTTATTGTTCATTTTAGTTTACATGTACACTAAAATAATTTACCTCATTTTTCATATTATTGCAATGTGAAATAAAGATGATGACAATTCAAAATGTTCATTATAATCTTAATTTATGTTGGCATTACACTTTACTTCTCTACAGACATCAATAATGCATATATAACTACATTAATTTTGAGCTAATTATCTTTATTTAAATTGTTTTAGAAGTTCGAATAGTTTTGTAAGGTAAAAAAAAATTTAAAAATGCATTCTGTTCTGATTAGTCATAACTGTTTCATTTTCCTTAGTACTATATACATAAATTGAAAGTCCTGAATGTTCAAATTCATAAGACTGTCAATATTTTTGAGACAAGTCTCTTACAAATGTAATAACTTAGGGATAGCTGAAATGTTAAAGTTAACAGGTCCACGTGGCTATGGTTCTGTTAATTGTGAACCAAAAGATTTTGGTCTCGTGGTAACTGTATCTATAATTATAAGTAAGTTTCAATGAATATCACTATGTAAAATTATTCTGTGTACATATACGTTGCATCCCAAAGTATGAAGTTCATTTTTGTATTGCACTGTTGATTAACATTCACAACTTCTAAACAAGGATTACCCATTCTTCAGTATGAACAGGTTTCTGATTTGTATGTTGTGTATGTGTATATACAAAATAATTAATCATGGTAACAGAAAAGAGTTTTCCAGTATATGGCATACCCTGTCCTAATAGTAATATGCCATCTTCTTCTGTTATATATGTATTACAACTTCTCAGTTGCTCAGTTTAGTAAAATTTGAAATAAATTACAATATTTAATTATTAATGTTGAAATATTGATATAAAAATTAAATACAATTATTAAAATATTTTGTGGTAAATACAGAAATGTATTATACAAATATAAAGAAGTAAGGATTAAGAATTTTTTGCTTGAATTTTCTGATGAATATTTTTAGTTTTTAATAAAGTTATTTAAACAACTTGGCACTATTTTGATGTGTGTATGAAAACTTTTATTACACACAAATGTAAAAGCTCTTATAAAGGATAGATAGAATATGAATATTAGTAGTTACAGTAGACTCTTTGAGTAAATATAATAAGTGGAGGTTGAGAGTTATACTAGTTTAGATAACTTGTTTGGGTTTTTATACTTTTATATTAATATAATTTGCTTACTGTACTCCTAATTAACTTATTAATTTCAACTTTTACTACAGGGTGTCCAAAAAGTCTGGAACCTTAGGCACTTCAACAAATTTTACAGAATATCTTCCACGTGCTGTCCTTGTAATTCGAAACAAGTTTGGATTAACTCCATCTTCTCGTGCTTTGACAATGGCATAATCAGCCACATTTCTAAAAATAAAAAGTTGCAAATCATCTATGGTTCCAGACTTTTCGGACACTGTACTATAATGGGGGCTGGAATACCAATGGCAGGAGGTAACGTTCCCTTTTGTAACCTCAATTGGCATTATGGCTGATTAATTGATAATTAACACACCTCTAATGAAATTATAGTCATAATTTTCCTACAAATGCACTATTCTTAAAAATTTTGAGATATATAATGTTTCTCTAATGTATTACTTTTGTATGTGTTTCAACAGGATCTTTAATTTCTTTTATTAGAAAACTATGGACCTGCAGAGTGTTCTCAAAGCATTACCAGATGATCGTCCAGTCACAAGAATCTGCATTGTTGAAGATCCTACCAAATGCCCATCAGGTTTCCAATTGGTAGCTAAGACTTTTGACCAAGACACAGATGCTGATTTATGGAAAGATGGAATTTTTGGCAAGCGAATAACCAGATACATATGTTTCATGAAAGATCAAAGTAGCTGTAATGAGGTAGTTGAATCTATTACTGTAGCTGGAGAAAGAGAACTTCCACCAGAGTGGACTGCTCTGTTATATACTCAAGATAGTGAGCAAAAAGCCATAAGAAAGAAAAATCTGTGTTATAAGTTGGTAAGCAAAGACTTGGTACAGGAGGCAGTAACTGATATTATTGTGCTGAGTAAGTCAAAGAAACCTCCTCCTGGATTTACTCTTGCTGGGGAAATAAACAGCTTGTTGATCTGTTACAAATGTGGTCCAGTCTCTCCAGCTAGATTCCCTAGGGTAGTAGACCCATTACCATACAGCTTGCTGTCAAATGGTCAACAAGTAACATCAAGTAATTGGGGTGTAAGTAGTGGTCAAAGTCAGCAGCCTTATGTTCAAGGACAGCGCACACTGTATGGTAATTCCATTACTCACAATGCTGTGCTAGATGGAGTTCCATTCACCATTAATCCAAAATACAGTGATTTTAGTCACCTACTCCAGTTCATTATCCCTGATATCACATTCAAAACTGAAGACCAGCTACGAGTGCAATATAACTATAGCTTCCAGGTTGAATATCAAGTTCAGCAGGCTGTGTCTTCCAACTTTAGCTAAAATTGTTTGCATTGATTTTAATTTGAAAGAAAAAAAGTTTTAGTTACTGTATACCTTCTGATCAATGAATAATCTAAAAGTTTGTATACAATTTTTGGTGAGTACTGTAAAAAAAAACATTGTACTAGCGGTGGTGTTAATGGAAGGATGTATGCATTTGGAAATTTCACTTGTTATTAATTCCTCGTATGAGTTAAATAGAGCAGACATTTGGCAATAATGAAGTACTGTTGTAGCTTCCCAAGGAAAATATTATCTTCGTGACCATATTTGGCTGGTTTGGAGGTTTTTGATGGTTGTGTAAGAGTACAGTTACAACATAACCATCTTAACCTTATATATGTATAAAAAGTGTCACCTGTTAATCATTTTTGAACATGTATGCATATTACAGTGTATAAAAATTAGATTTTAAAATGGTGCCTAACTTATACATTTGTATAATTGCAAAGAAAAATGCATGTATATACAGTATTACATTTAAATAAAACAAATATTGCAGAAAGCTGGTCAGACTAGTTCTGATCAGCAGTAATTTCTTCCGCTTAGTGTTTTTCCAATAAATAGTACATTCGTTAAAAGTTCTTTTGTAGGAATGTTAAAGTATGCTTTGTTTTTGAGACTTGCTGTAGTTTTATTTCTATGATAAAGACTTTTGCAAATTCAATATAGATTCTTAACTGTACTTGATGTATAATAATGTCTCCAAGCTACTGCAGTTTTCACACCTCGCTTCAGTGACACATGCTTCTAATCTTAAGAAACTAATTCTGGAATAGTGTTGTTTTTTATGCACATTCTCTGTATCTGTAGTTTAGTCATTCACATCAGATGCAGCTAAAGATGTTAGGATTATGACCACTTTGTTTTAATTTCAGCCATCTTGACCAAGTCTCATTTACATTGAGGAAATACGTAATATGCATTTTATTTCTTTTCTTTCATCTCCAAATGTCGTGACAGTTTCTCCAAAGCAGTTTAATGTCCAATGCTTTAAATACTGATTGTATGTAAAATTGTCATTGTTGAACATCTTAATTTTTTCCACCAACTTCTGTATACAATATGTATAGATAGACCTTGTATAGCATTTTTTGAAATTCTGAAATAAACAAAAACCTTTCTGCATGTTTAAAGAAAAATAATTCTTGCAGTTTTGAAATTAAACCTCTAATACATGCGTATTGTTAAAAAAATAATGCCATTGCACTTTGCTCAAATTAGCATTGAAGTCAACAAATCTTGTGTTGTTTCATTCTTTTCTTCATTTCTAGCCAAAATTTTTTTTTTCTCCTTTTGTCTCATTTTTTAAAATGAATGCTGTATATTAAACTAAGCGTCACTGTTATTTCTACACATTCAACTAGATTCACTGAAATTAGATATTTTCTATCATAATTTCACATATATTATCCTGGTCTTTGTTTACAGTCAAGTACATGTGACTGAAATTTTTTCACTAGTTATTTCAGTAATCTACTTTAGCATTTTATCTTTCCAGGGTACAATAGAGATTTTGCAAAGGAAAGAAACACACAAACACAAGTGAACAAATAAATCAAAGTTTTATTCACAATAGTTGTATATTTTACTTGCTGACTGGCTTACAGTTTTTTGTTGTCTCTTAATGGCTACTTGGGTGAGAAGCTTTGTTTATTTCTACATCCCACAGAAAAAAGACAAAATAAATTCTTATTCACAACCTAAATTCATACAAAATGTTAAAAGTGCTATATATCAGGATTGAATACTGACTATTCCAAATAACATTTATAAGAGAGAACTCTTAGCTCGTATCAGTTTGTACAAGTATATGAGCCATCCCTGAGATGGGCTCACTTTTCCCCAAAGGGGGCCATTGGAGTATGAAACCTGATCTTAGTAAAAGGATTAATATACATTTATGATCTTTCAACATCAGATCTCTTGTACAGCACCATTATAACAATGGAGAAAACTTTACTTGAATATATTGGACTAAAGATGTACTCTAAACTAGTTATGGAAAATTGAAAATTATGATTTTTATTAGTTATTACTACAGCTATTAAGTTGACCAATTGGCTTAAGCATTTAATACAAATGATGCGAGATATGCATGTATATTTGACATCTATTTATGTTTTCCACAAGTTAAAAATATTCATATAATTGCATGCAGTGATAGTAAGTTTCTCTTACATCTGTATCCCTTGCATGGTATGAGAGTTTACTCTAGACTTTGTATCTGATAAATGTTTTAATTTATTTCACATGGATTTAGTTATTCAGAAAGCTTTTACAGCTTATTTTAGACTTCTTGTTAAAAATTTGTATCATAACACTAGTATCATTTTCTTGAGAACTTTATGATTGTGAGAAATGACTTTTTTTATGTGCACTTCAACTCGTGGATTGTGGGAACTTGTACTAACTTATAATTCCTGTGTTGTTTTATCATGCACATTCACACAGTTTTCTCTTGCAATGATATCTGTATTTAGCAAGATTGGTTCAATGTATAGCATGTACCCCTCTGTACAAGAAACAGGATACACGTGCATATAGGTCAGGAACTTTCTTCATGGTGCAAGTGTCATCAGTAATGTGTTGTATCACATTGAACTTAAAATGTTTTTTAACATTGTTACAGATTATCTGTAGTCACCTACATTTACATTGTGCCTGATTGTTATATAGATATTGGAATCACTGGGGAAGGATCATGTAGGTTAGTGTTGGATGAGCAATTATTTGATGATGAGAATTGCTTAACAAGTTATAGTGCTCCCATAAGCAAAGGTAGGCTTTTCAGATAAAATACTTTTAAGCCACTTTTATCTGAGCTGCTGTATATGTGTATTTAATTGCACAGTAATCGACACCATTTGTAACCAAAAATTTTAAAAATAACGAACTCTGCACATCTTCCTCTTTTCAGATGTGGTAATGATATATTTGTAATTAAAGTCTACTGTAGAACATAAATACTAATAAAGTGCTTATATCAGAATGTCAATACCTTATTTTTTTGTGGTTGCAAAAAATTGGTCTACATGTATTTTCATAATTCAATGCACACAAGTTGCTGAAGAAAACCTTCTTGTCACTGAAGTAAGAAAGTACATGAATATTAAATCTCATTAGAAAAGAAATATGAAATTAACATTATTATTCAGATTAACTGATGCTTTACTTTTAAAAAAAGTTTTCTATTACATTTTGAATTCCATTTAGGCCCAGGAATATTAACATTAATATCTTTCAGTAATGCCTATCACACGGTTTGAAACAAATATTATTTTGTGAGATTTGTCATTGTTTTTATTTTAAAATATTAAAAACCTTAATTTTAGTTTTTATATCTGAAATTTTTATAATATTAAAAACTGTGATTTCTCTATTACAGCATAATCTTACATTGCATTTCTAGCATCCCATCTAGTCAATGTTTTTTTTTTTATTGAAATGTTTATCATATGAAACTTATCAGGGATGGAAATCTTATAACTATATTTTGGGATGAATGGAACTAACAATACAAATTGTATTACAAGGTGAATTTAAGTATTTTTTTCACTATAACTCATGTAATGCTCATTATTTTAATTATTGATAAACTAAGGGCTTGATTTATACAGTACTGTAGTTTTTGTTATGAGTTTGAGATAAATGTGTTTTTTTGTAAATTTTGCACAGGGAGTAGTTTTATTTGTTATAACTGTCAAAACTACACTGGTTTAATAACTTGATTTATTTTAATCATATACTTGTTGAGCTAACTGTTGTTAGTTAAAAATACCTTCAGTAAAACATTTAACATGAGAAAGTTGATTATGACATATATATGAAACAAGATAACAGTTCAATGAAAGAGATTAATAACCTTATATTGCTACAAAAAACATGTACTTGCTAATTTTTAACTCTTCTCACTTTGTTTTCATGTCAGCCAATTGTAACTGTGCTTGTTTTATTTACAGTAGCATGCTGTATACAGTATACAAGCAGATGTTATATGATTGAAGTGGCATTTTTGGAATCCAGATTTTTTGTAATTGTTGTTTTCATTTAATAACAGATGTTTTACTGTTGGGCTTTTTTTTATTATTCATCCAGTTATGTTATTTTAAAACTTGGACATATTTGGATTCAGAAAGCCTCATTATTTACATGTAACAATTGTTTAATGACCTAATAATTTTGTCTTCAATAAAGAAATAGCAGTAACATTGTAGATGACTTTTTTTTAATGTTTGATTCCAATGGCATATTTGTATTTCCTTATCTGTGCTACTGCTATTTTATAATTGACACTTGAAGATGCGTTGACATTAAATGCAATCTTTAATGTTAAAGGGCAGCACAGTTATCTCTTTACAGGTGGATTTTTTTTGTCATTTCAGCTGATTTTGAATGACAAAAAATCCACAAGGAATATACTGCATTATCTCTTGTCTAAAGTTAAACTTGCACTTGTACAAGTGAGTTTATATAAAATTGTAAAATAATAGATATTTAGAATTATTGGGTATAGATGTACACAACAAAGAACCTTAATTGTGCTAAAGAAGTTGTGAGTGTAATTTAAATTCAATCATGATAAAGTTTTAGATTCTTTGGAGTTGCATGCTCTGAACTTGAATAGAGGTTTAGTACTGGCCTGTACAGCACATCTTCCATTCTTTTTGGCTTAAAAGGTAAACTTACAAAATTCTGCTACTTGTTTTTCTATAATTACCTGGGTTGGAACATAATATTACCCAAGGAAGTTTCTATCTAACTTTCTCCATAGGCTAATTAGATCAAGAGGAGATTAGATACCTTCTTATCTGATTCTCTTGCAAAAATAATGACATGCTATTTAATTAGCACACTAATTTATTCTTGTTGACAAATCGGGCAGTAGCTGGAGGTAACTTACCCATGACTTTCACTGCCCAGTGGCACAAACTTTCTTAGAGGTGAGGAGTAAGCTGCTTTGAAAACTCTAGCTATCACAGAGCCAGAGATCTCAACGACTTCCAAGGTGGACTGCAAGTTTGTCAAAGGAAAATATGCCAAACCACATGAACTCATGGTGGAGGTGAGATTGACCTCTCTACTGGTGGCTGAGAGAAAAGCTGTTAAAGGGCTGGGTCATGTCCTGTTATGTTTCTTTCTGGACAGGGCACTGTCTGGAAGGATCATATCTGGAGACAACTGAAACAAAAGTTGAATTCCCCTTTCTTTCCAAGCACTCTTATAATCTTCTGAGTGAAGGCTGCCACCCAGTGGACTAGCAGTAGTTTGTCGACAACAATTGCAGTCTTTCCTATTATGGATAGGATGGTTGTTGGTCATACCACCAATAACTGAAATAACTTAGCAAACCTTGACTTCTGAATCTCTGTGTGGTAACGTGCAATATGGTGAAAGGCATTATACTGTATACTTGCCATTTGTGTGATAAGACAATTATTTTGTTGGAACACTGACAATTAAAAGGTATATTTTGCCCCTTTTCTTTTCAACACCTGAGTGATCTTTTGAGTGAAGGTGTCCACCCTTATTGGAGTTCAGTCACACATGCCATGGGATCCTGCAAAGACTCTGCTGTGGGTGTAACACTTCCATGTTATGCCAGGGTTTGTTCCTTGCAAGCATGTTAATGTGCAAGATAGTGACAGAACAAAACTTGTAGTACTGACATGCAAATGTTGGTTGAACAATAGTTCAGATAAATTCTGCCAGAAAAATCTGTGTAATTTTACCACTCATAGATGGCAACACATTACTTGACTGTAATTGTCAGAAGACAACTTGCAGAAGTGACCCTTGAGATTGCTTTGGTAAAGTTGCATGTGCCTGAAGATTTAGGATTAAGTTCTTAGCCTTACTGGTTAGGTTTATTCTTTGAATCAGCCAGTGGTGTTTTTAGAGTTCTCTGTTGCTAATATCATATCAGAATTCTAACATGGAAAGAACTAGCAGTGAGTTTTTCAATGGAGTTTCCAGTGCTGCCTTCCACACCTAGGGTTGGACCTGCCTTCATGTCCTCAAAGCTGATGGATGAAGATCAATTGCTGAATGTTGTGTTAGACATGTGGCCTATAGATGTAGCAACCATGTGTTTGGCCCTTTGTACTAAGCCACACCAGCTAACTCACTATTGGTTTTTCCTACCAATCCCTGACGATAGGGAGCTAAGAAAGAGTAAGCTTGAATGTGCCTACAATGTCTATTGTGTCAGCTGCCCAGCCACCTACCACTCCAGAAGAAGGAAACAACAAATAAATCCTAAAAAGAATAATAAATGACAAGAGTAAGAGAATTGGCATAAGCCACCAAGGAACCTCATCAAGGGATGCTTTTTGGAAAGAAACAACAGACATGGTATGTGGGCACACTTTTGAAAGGATCATAAGATCCAGCATCCAAATATGAGCTTTCACTACTGAAGGCACTGAAAAAATTAATTCAACTCTGACCCAACTACTGCTTCAACAACCAGAAATTAGACCATGTTAGTGTTTTTGATTCTTTGGAGTTGCATACATTGAAATTGCATAAAGGTTTGGGTACTTGATCAACTAAAAACCAGCTGATTTTTGACTTATAAGACACTGTCAATTACAGATTGTTATTGAAGATATTTTGTCTTGCTAGAATATTCTCCTACCAGAATTGAACCAAAACTTGCTCTTATTTATATATTCAAGTTAAATAATAAATGCTAAGTTTCTGTGAATCTTATCTGGATTTTCTGATTGTTTATTTTCAAGTTCAACACAATGATTGTCCTATAAGGCTATAAACTAAAAATTATTTTCAAAAAAATTAACAACTTGCCCAAAAAGTTTTAGATCAGTCAAGTAGAACATTTGTTGTGTTCCAGCAGGTCTGAAGAGCTCTGGATTGAGCAAAATGCACTATTACCAATGACAAATATAGTGTGAGTTAAATACTATTATTATACATGCTTCTAATTCTTCAAAATCCCTAAGGGACTAAATAAAGAATGTAGTATTCAAAAAAATTTTAATAGACCTAATATTATTGTCTTATGAGAAATTTATTTGCTTAGGATCTTGAAGCTTTTGCTGCTGTCTTTCTAATTTCTTCTGTCATTAACATTTAATTGTGTCATAACTGTCTTGCTTTGTGTAATCAGGATAATAGCCATGATTTGAAAATTGCCTGCTTTTTTTTAGGGGATCTGGCAGATGTGCTCACCATAAAACTTGTCATGAGTTCAAATTCGGTCATTGAACCTGCTCACCTTTCAGCTGTGGTGACATTATAATGTTACATTCAATCCCACTTTTAATTGTTAAGAGAGTGAGTGGCCCAAGAGTTAGCAATGGATGGTGTTGACTAGCTGCCTTCCCTCTAATCTTTCACTTCTAAATTAGGGATGGGTAGGGCAGATATCCCTTGAGTAGTTTTTTGTGAAATTCAACAAATAAACAATAATTTTATGTTAGCAGACCTTTATTTCAGTTACACGTCATTGTATCTCAATTATGGTTCAAAAAAAGATTGAACACATAATTAAAGGGGAAAATTTGAATTTACATCTCCATAGCTTGTCCTAATGTATTATAGAAAGTGTAGCAAAATATTCAGATAACTCAAATCCTTATTTTTGAATATTATTTTTGTTTATTATATTCAAACAATGTAAATAAATAGATGAGTTTATAATTTATTGAAAAGAAGCTATATTTGTTTGATCTATTTTATCCTGACTAAGCATATTATTAGCAACAATGTTATCACATATCTTTAGGAAGGTAATAGTGATGCTATTTGAAAGGTGAGATCTTGTATCACATATAAATCTGTCGGTGAATGTTGTAAATGGTAAAATAAAATGTCAATATAAGTACATTAATAAGTATTAATATAGTTGAAACTGACTGGTTAAATGAGTAATGAATGGTAAAAAAAATAAATTCTGAGATAAAATTAATTGTGTTTTAAAATAGAATTCTGGACATTTCACAACCTATAAGTGATATATAAAGACTAGTATAAATAAAATTGTGTTTTTTAATTTAATTGTTTCTTGTTTTTTTAATATACTATATATTAAGTTTCAAGGAGTTTGGTTAAGCATGGCCACTGTGAGAAGAAGAAGAAAATAAGGAAATACTAGTGAAACCTCTTCAGTCTGAACAGTGTTGAAATTATCTGCAGTCGTTCTGTAAATAATACCTGATTTCAATTTGTTTTTGAAATTACTTCTTAACTCAGCCATGATCAAAATAACGTTAGATGCCTGTTGAAACACCTACAGTCAAGTTACTGATTGACAAATTAAACATTAAATGTTATACCACTTTATCCTGGTCCCATTCATTCCCAAAGTAACAATTTGCTTGAAACACATTGAGGAAGTTTTCAGAATTTTCTTTTGTTGTCCCTTTAAACACTGGCATGTTTACATGTTTCATATAACTACCATAAATAAATTTTAGTGCTGATAAAAACTTTCTGTGCATTTTTAGTGGAGGCCTTTGTGTTCTTCTAAGTGTCTAGAGATGTGTAAATCCTTATGAATAAGTTATAATTAGGCAAAGTCATGTCCAGAATGATGCAATGTATAGGAATGCACATCATCTTAATGATGCGAAACATAGGGATATGTATCGTAATCATATTCTATGTTGACTTCAGTCACTGGATATAGTCTTGGGATTTCACCAGTAAGCATTGTCAGTCTGGAAGGCTCTAGAATAACTTCAGCATCTGCTGGATTATCAAGAGCTGGTAGCTGTTCTATCTGATGGTGTCATGTCATTTTGCATCAGATTTTGTCCAGTGAATGAAGTTATTCACTCTTTTTGGTGATGAGTGGCTTAAACCAACACCTTTCAATGCTTAGGCTTTTAACAGACTCTTTTATGTTACTCAGAGATCACCTCAGTAAGTCTTGGATTATTCAAGCTGCTTAATGCCAGCTCACAGGAAGTAGCTATTGGAGATCATGTGAAAACAACCTGGGTTTTCCTTAACTGCCTATTAACCCTTTAGTCCCAAGAACATAGGCTTAGCTTTCACAAGAAATGTGCTTCTCCTAGTTCTTGTTACGTTTTCAGACAGTGTTCTCTTCACCTATAGCCTTCTACTCCTCACCACGAGTTCTACTTGGTCACAGAGAGTGTCTTACCATGATCACAATCTACAAACCTTAAGGTACCATAAAGTCAAATGGAAAAAGATGTATCCAAACTCTGCAATAACAAACATCATAATCCTACATTTTAACTATTTTTGTTATATTCCGGTATAATGATATTAAACAGATAAGTTTAAAGTAGCTACTAAAAAGCATATTTTGTAAATGCTATCTAAGCAGATCATAAATTGAACATGGATAGAGAAAGGAAAACAAACTCTTTATTCACTAGAATGTTTGTGCATATTATTGTCATGATGTAAAAGACTGTATAGTGTAGATATTATTGATTAGTTTATTTTATTTAGTTTTGTTCATAACAAGAGAATTAGAAGCAATTATTTTAAAGTAAATGTTATGACAATTTAGGACTTTTGACAAGAAGAAGAGAACTATATAAAGTTTATGATATGCCTATGATCTCTATAGTGTAAATAATTTGTTGGACATACGTTTAACTAGTTCCGAATATATATATTATTTTGAAAACAAGTGGAGTTAGTGCTGTTCATTGATATTTGAATTCATCGCCACCAAATCACATGCATGCCCCACAGTGGTATGTCTGCGGACTTACAACGCTAGAATCCGGGTTTCGATACCCGTGGTGGGCAGAGCACATATAGCCCATTGTGTAGCTTTGTGCTTAATTAAAAACAAACCAAATCACACACACACACTTACTGTAGAAGAAACCTCAACAACAATACACAGTATCTATTTATATTTACTATAAAAGTACAGGAATCCCTCGATTAGTGCGGTTAATGTGTTCCTTAAAAGAGCCGCACTAATCGAATATAATAAGTTATAGGAAATCGTGTAATTCGTACCTCAATTTTCATTCTCATTCTCAATTAATTTCTATTTTGCGTATTTTTTAATCAAAGTATAGGTATATAAGAAAATACGAAAAAAATGCAATGAATTAAAATTTATTGATCTGATTTTTTTATGAAAAACTTCTTTGTTTGAAGAATGGTTCGTCAAGTATTTTTGTCCAACGGTTGCAGACTTTTGCCGAAGAAGAAATTAAGATTTTAAAGCTTTGCTTATTTTAGATAATGCCCCTGGTCATCCTTTTGGTCTCGATTCAATGCGCAAAAATATCCAAGTGACATTTTTGCCCGCAAACACTACCTCTTTACCTCATCATCGCGACCTTGAAAGCATACTACCTGAGAAAGACTTTCAAGCAAGCGATTCAAGCAACATATGGAGAGAATTCTATGACACTAGTTCAATTTTGGAAGAAATTCAGTATTAAGGATGTTATTGATAATATCCATCAAGCATGGAATGAAATTTCAGTTAAAAATATGAAAGGTGTTTAGAAGACAGTTCTTCCACACTGTGCACAGGACGTCACAGGCTTTTCAAAAGATACAGAAGAGGTCATTAAAGAGATTACTCATACTGGAAAAGAACTTGGCTTCACTGAGATTGACGAGGAAAATGTGGAAGAATTGCTAGAAGCTCATTCAGAAGAATTAACCAATAAGGATCTTATAAATTTGGACACTCAGAGAGCATATGAAGACATTGATGAATGTGAAGAAATCTTAACGACCCGCCAGCATAAGAAGATGACGAAGAAGGAATTAGAAGAACTTTTCACAGTTATTGAAGAATTTAAGGGAAAATGTTTAGAAACAGATCCTGATGAAGATAGAAGCCATCAAATTTGCAGAAATATTGATAAGGCAATTTCTCAGTACCGCCAATTATATGAAGAACAGAAGAATACGATGGGACAAGCCACTCTAAACATTTAGTTACCCATGCTTTTTTATTAGATTTCCATATTATTGGTAATTGTCCTTGATTTATACCTTTAAGAGCTCTTGGATTCTGAGCTCGATAAACCAACATAGGCTTTAATTTCAAATTTCCTTTAGAATTGCCGCCCAATAAAAGGGTTAGTCTATCCTTTGCAGGTTTATGTCCTGACTGGGAACTCTCAGATTTGGCCAGAAAAGTTTTGGAAGGCATTCTTTTCCAAAATAACCCCATCTCGTTGACGTTAAAATTTGTTCATCCGAATACCCTCTTCTTCCACAATTTTCTTCAGAACTTCAGGATATTCATCAGCAGCTTCCTTATCTGCACTAGCTGCTTCCCTTGTAATTCTTACATTGTGCAGGCTAGTTCTTTTCTTGAACTTCTCAAACCATCCAGCACTAGCATGGAACTCCTTTGTCTCGTCTTTGAACTTTTCTTCTTTTAAGATTGAAAAGAGACTCAATGCTTTTTCTTTTATGAGATCAGTGCTTAAAGGAATTATTTTCTGGTTACAGTCCTCTATCCAGATAGTTAGCAATCTTTCTAATTCAATCATGATAACATTTTGATTTCGAGTGATATGCACACATGATAAGTTTGAAACAGCTTTTACTTTTCATTTTGTATTCATCAGCTTTACCTAAATTTGCTCTTACTGTTGACTCACCTAGTTTGTGCTCTAGGCCTATTTTTGATTTCGAGACACCCATTTTCTATTTTTAATTATTTTTTTTAATTTAATTTTGGTGCCTAAAACTTACTTTTCAATTACTATGGTTAAAATGAAATGTGTGTTACCGCACTAATCGAATACTGGTTATAAAAAAATGTAAGCGCACTAAATGAAAACGCATTAATCGAGGGATCCCTGTATTGTGATGTTCCATGCTGTATACATTGTGTTCAGCAATCAAATAATACTACATATTTGTATAATATGTAGTAATTTGTACATTACATATCTACTTAACAGTATTTGTTGCATCTCGTCCAGAACAAAGTGTGCTTGTAGAACCAAATATAAACTGTTATACAGGTAGAAATCAATGTCTAAAGTATCTAAATATTCGCACAGTTTTACCCAATTTAAAGTCCATTTCTTCATCATTAAAAACACAAAGTAATCATAAGAAAGTATTATCAGGTTGACTTTAAATATTTTGTTCTTTTTAACACATTCACTGCTGAGGACACACGCATTTGTTCGAGTGTGCTCATGATGCATGTGTCTGTCCCCAACTAGTTGATATTTCTGACCACTGTTAGAAATCAACATTAAGTATAGGTGTCATACTTCATACTTCCATGCATATATGAGTGGAATCAATAGGCAAGATCAGATATTATTGTATTATCCTTGCTCAAGAAAAACCATAAGGTGGTATAAGAATATATATATTCATTTATTACAAATGACTCCACTAAATTACTTTTATTTGTATAAATCATTATTCTGGGAACAAAATGATTTTTATCTGATGGCAGTGAAGGAGCTTTTACCACCTCCAGTTACAAGTAAATCATCAAAAGCTAAAGATTTTGAACATTTGCCAACAAAATGCAAAATTGGATTGGCCGAGTGATAAAATAATGAGATAAAAGTGCAGATTATGCAGTGAAAACGGGCAATGCATAGAGTCAATTTATGACTGTGAAGCATGTCCAAAATCATCTGGACTTGGTTTGGATCCATGATTCAAATTGTTATCATAAAACATGTTGATGTATTTATCATATGGTGTTTTAATTGAACTCTTGTCTTTTCTTTGAATAAAATGATATTTTTTACAAATTTTATATAAATAACTTTCTAGACACAAGTGCATCTGTAGCACTTAATCACCATAATCTTTGCATTGTGCTGATGATGCACATGTGTGTCTTAAATAAAAAAACATATACGTTTTTGACTTATTGTTATTATTACAATTGTTTAAATTGAAAACACAATGATATTGCACTAAAACTCTTATCGGCACCTACCATAGATGATTCCAAGCTTCGCAGCAGTTAATTTGTTAATCAGTTTTTAATGTAACCTAGAACGACGAAGACGTTGGAGTGGAAGCTCCAAAGACATAGAAGTAGACGAGGATGAGGAACTAATGGATGAATTAGAACAGGGGGAAGAGCCTGTAGATGAAGATCCAAGGCTGAAGAAAGAGGAAGAAGAACTTTCCAAAATTGCTACTGGGATTGGCAAGGTAATACTTCATACTTTTGTCAAGCCTTTACTACTTCTAAGGACTCAAGAGTGCATGTAAAGAAGAATGTGTAACAATATGTCAACCACACTGTATCTGTTATATCCAGTACCTTAGTAAATAACCTTTTTGTTTTAATATAATTAAAAAAGTAGTGAACTTTCCACTAATTATATTTGATATTATCATAAGTGAAATCATGCTTATTTTAGGTATTCTTAAAAACTGTAAAAGAAAGAGAAAAAATACGAGCTTGGAAAAAGACTCACATAGATCCCCGGAATGCCTCCCGCACTCCTTCAGCAAACCGAGAAGTAGCAATTAGGATGCGGTATAACAATCCTGTTAATGCTTGTGAGTATTTCTTTATTACCTACTGTATATATATGATTTTACCTGATCAGTTAAAATGATGACAAGAACAGATGTATAATTAGACAGAAGAAAAACGGTGTGAATATTTTCACTTGCAAAAAATGTAATTTTAATTTCCTCAAGAATAGATGAGATACTCGAGTTAGGTAACTCTTGTATGTATAGTACTGCCTGGCAGCTCTGTCTGTAATCTTGATTCATGCTGTGTTGTTGCCTAAGTTTATGTGCTCTTATTTGCTATTTTGATAAAATCAGTATGCTTTGAACATCAAGTACTAGGGAATCTTTTTCTCTCTTCTCAGCCCCTTCTCGTGATCTTGATCATCCACGACCCTGGGATGATGATACATTTGATCGAGGTTCTGGGTACAGGTCATCAGTTGGAAGGTCAATAGGAACAACACCTACATATAATGGTAAGCATTGAAGTATAGTGCTGGCAGTTCGTTGGACATTTGGTAATAACATAGTATCCAATTCTACTGCTTTTGGCATTAGTCTACTGCTGTTTGTATACTTGAACAGGCTGTCGATTTTATTGTCCAGTGATTGTGAAAAATACAGCTTTCACAAAATAACATGTTTCACAGAAGTTTTTGATAGACTTTCATGTTGCAACAAGGTTTCTGTTGGCTTTCGGGTAGTTTCCCTCGATGCTGCATGAAAAATCCTATTCGTAATCTTATTGTATTTGATTGGCGACAGCTACTATTCAAAGCATATAGCAGCAAATGACAAATGCTATCCCATTTACAAGCATTATTGACCTGCAAAACGTAAGATATTTCTCACTGGTTGACTGACATGATGTAACTTAGAGCAAAACATTGTACCAGTGAAAACCATGCTGTGCTGTGTTAGCCATATAATGTATGCACAAATCGCATGCACATTACATACACACTCGACATCACCTAGCCTTCGTCTAGTAATAGCAGTAGCTTAACACACAAAGATGAAGCTAAAGTTGATTAACTCAACTGAGATTTATTCATCAAAGTCATCATGGCTAACAGCAGAGGAAAGGGCAAGGGGAAAAAAACAGGTTAGATATGACAATTCATTCAATGCAGCATGGATGGAGGAATTTGGGTACATTCACCTTTCAAAACAGGTCAAATCATATACGTTTTATAAAACGTGTTGCTGTGATTTTATCAGGAAAAAAGGATTATTCTGCTTTACTTTTGCATAAAAGTGTTTCTTAGAACGTACACATTTAAGGTTAAAATTATAAAATTTCCCTAACCTGGGACGAGGGATGCTTCCCTCACACCACAGATTGTTTCCATTCTACCTATTTTTTTTCTCTTAATGTTGGCAATTATGTAATGAACATAAAACAAGCTGAAACAGTTTTATAAAACATACACGCATACACACACGTATGTATATTCAATCATATTTACATTCTTAAATAATGCAACTTTCCTAGAACAATAACAATATAAACAAAGTAAGATGGATTGTACCATCGTCCAAGATTATAGCTTTGCCCATAAATAATATTTTTAACAAAAATATATAAGCATGAAAGTCCAACCATGCTAATTGTGTCAGAAAGAGAACATGTTAGTGCTTTAAATGTGACATGGTAAAGCTAAGAATTTCTTTGTAATTTGACCTTAGATGTTTTGTGACATAGTAACAACTGAAAATTTTAAATAATGTTAGGTTTTGTTTCATAACAGTAACTGAGAATGAATCTTTTTTCTTTCAGTTGTGTCATCCTTACGTACAGTACCTAAACCAGGCTATGGACTCTCAACTAAGTGTTCAACTTTACCAGTTGGAGGGAGAGATTATGTGGTGAGACTTTATTTTAACTGTCAGGTCATATTACTCTTTAAATATTGTTCTGTTAAGAAAATACCTTAAAAGTAAAATCCACATAAAACTGGGCACAAAACTCTGCAGTTTCTTAATAAAAGATTTAATACTAGAAAACTTTGAAACTTTTTTGTTCAAACCTGAAAGTCAACAGTAAAAATGTATTAGTTATCACATATCTATATAAACATAATATTACCGTCTGTTGTCTGTCCATGTAACTACTTTGCAGGGTGTGGATGGATCTTCACCAAATTTGGTATGGAGGTTCATTGGGTCCCTGGGGAGATACATGCAAGCTTGCAATTTCACATGTGTTTTGCATTTTTATGGCCATTTTTGATTTTTTTTACAATTACATATAAGGGAAGCAACTTTTTATGTCCTAAGATATCCTTTCATTAATCATGAATTTACATAACTTCCATTCTGGAGATGGGTACTCCAGCTAGTTAGTTAATATTTTGATAACTAATATGCTTGCACTGTTGACTTTAGTTGACATTTTGATAACTGATACATTTGTACTGTTGACTTTAGTTAATATTTTGGTAACTAATACATTTACATTGTTGACTTTAGTTAATATTTTGATAACTAATACATTTACATTGTTGACTTTAGTTAATATTTTGATAACAAACACATTTACATTGTTGACTTTAGTTAATACTTTGATAACAAACACATTTTTACTGTTGAATTTAGTTAATATTTTGATAACCAATACATTTTTACTATTGAATTTAGTTAATATTTTGAGAACTAATAAATTTGTACTGTTGACTTTTAGGTTTGTGTATTGTTGAGCTGTTAGTTGTTGGTTAGCTTTTTGTTAAAATGAAAATTATTCACTAACAAATAATGTCAGATGCTTTTATGTTAAGACCTACTAATAAGGTATGTAGAGTGAGAAAGGTTTTGATTAAATTTTTATCGGTATTTTGTTTGGTTATTCACTTGGAGGTTAAATAGCATATTTGCTGAAGGTAAGTAGTGAAAGAACATACACTAACTCTGTATTCATATTGTTTACTTTTAGTTTTGTACAATAAACAACAGCTGATCACATGTGCCACTTTGTACTAAAACTTTTAATAGCTTCATTATAAACACATATCAGTTTTGCTTTATGGGGTGATGTTTTTTTTGTGACATCTGTGGTGATTTTTAATGAACTTTGGCATAATTTAATTTGAACATATGTTGTGTTAGAAATGCCAAGTGTTTTCTGATCAAAAGTAAATTTCAGAAAGTTGACTGATGAGAAACCACACTGACACATAACTGTTAGCTTAAGTATCTATCATTTATTCTGAAAAACATCTTCATCTCCTACAATTGAATGATTGCCTTAAACAGATATTTCTTGAAGTTCCTGTTGTCTCCTTCTGGAAAAGCAGAAGTCTAAGAGATACCCTTGTTCATGCAAAACTTAATTACACCCTGCAAAAGAATGGTTGTCATCCATGTAATAAGGCTCGTTGTCAAACCTGAATACTCATAAAATCTACTGACTCTTTCTTTTTCTGACAAGCACAACTAGAGAAATTTAAAAATTTCTAAAGAAATTACTTGCACAACACAAAATACCATTTACCGTATACAGTG